GAGACTTCAGTTTCCAGGCCATAACCGGTGCCATGCTCATGAGCCCCACAAGGTCAAAACTAACCCTCTTTAACTCACTGAGTTCCTCTTTAAATCAGTCAAAATGTTGTTCCAGGACATGAAATAAGCACTTCACTCCAAATAACCCCAAAATATGATTAACTTTAAGCTATTCTTTAAAGAAAAATATAATGGTATAAAATATTAGTGGGTAAGTAATTGACAATTGTAGGAAATTTTAAGTCATTGTAGCTATGAATATAAAGATCAAACCACATCAAAACAGTGTTGTATTGCCGGTAATTTTGAAAGGATTTACGAATGTTCCCTCACTGCAGGATAATACTTATTTAAATACCTTTTAGAACATTGCTAGATTTACTATAGTACACAGTATTACCAACATTTCATGAATTGTTAGTTAAATTTTACATTATAAAGTCATCAGGAAAATTCTTCATTTTAGACATTTTATCTTCTGTAATTGTGACTGTCAATTAATAGCACACTGGTAATTTACAGGCCCGCTGGGAATCTTTCTTACAGATCATATCAGCGAGAGACGTGTTACTGACTGAAATATATGGAACTCACTCATTTTAATCAGCACACATTGTCGAAAAATATTTTATAAGAACATGCTGATAAAGAAAATTAATTGCCGCCAATCTCTCTATCTGGCTTAGCTTTCCCATATGTTTCTTCATCTTAATACTTTATAGCTTTTCTATAGCCTTTCTTGATATTATTGTTTGTAGCATATGTTTTTTTTTCTTCCATTTTCATTTAGATTTAAACATAGAATAAGTGCAGATCATCCCTAAGTAAAAATGTGAAGAGGGTTAAGGGTTCTCTGAGCCACCTGGCCCATGTAGTATAGGATCGTGGAATGTGCCTTTTTGTGCAATAGAAATTTGGACCATATCAAATGTTCTAAACATCTTGGCATATGGCAAGAAACTGTCCTCATATTGGAACTTCGAATTATCATTTAAATTCTAGAATAGAATTATCTTCTGTTCTGAGTAACACTCTAAGCCACGAAGCACGGTCCTACATGGTTTTGTTTAGTTCTCTATAGCTGACCAGATTGTCCTAAATTAGAGAAACGTTATTCAGAATTGTGGCCATGGCTTCCTAGTAGGATCTAGTTAAATTGTGCTAACATTGTTGATGTTCCAGGGGTGATAAACCAAATTATGAGTGATTATAACTCACCGTTCGGGAAATAAAGTAAGCGATTCTCCTTGCGAAATAACAGCTTCCCAAGTAAATCCTACCAGTAAAGCAGACAGGTACCCAAAAAATCAGCCGAAGTCTAGATGAAATGTGTAACAGAACTGAATTTTAATGATACCACACTGGCTTTTATGCAAGTCCCCCTGCGAGGGGACCTTCCACAGGAACATAAATCATGCAGCCAATAATAATACAGGAAAAACTGTGACACTCCCAGTACAAACATACCATCCCCTCCTCTCTACCTGGAGATAATTGAGTATGATAAAGTAATAACTTAATTATCTCCAGGCAGAAAAATTTACAATTTCCCAAAACACATAGTATTCCCACAAAAGTCATATCCCCTGATAGCCCTGATCTGGGTGACCAACATATCCAAAAATCACCTAGATCAGTTCAGGGGTTTTTGAATTCCATGGAAGTCTTAGGTGACCGGCCACACACGAGGCTCCTGCCCAAAACAGTTCCACAAGTTTTGGTGGTTTTGCCGGACTAGTTCGTAAAGTCTCAAAAGGCGAATAAATGCACGAACGGCTCCCCCTGGCTCATAGTAGCGATTGTTCCCCTCATTCGCGGGAACAAAACTACCGAACAGCACTCTCCCCGCTGTTCGGGAAAAGGAAACAGGCGTTCATACAGTGGGGACCGTTGTTCGTGAAGTCGAGTGTCCGATTTTAGTTCCAGACACTCGACTACCAGGTGCCGCTGCCTCCTTTCGTGTAAGCAAGATGGCCCGGGAGAGGGCTTAAATGACTGTTCTCTTTGACGTTAATGAGCCGGGTGGGGGGAGGGGTTGGTGTTCGGTAGTTACAGCTACCAAATGGAATTACATGAAATAAACAAAATAACTTGGTGATTTCTTCACATTAGGTAAACTAGAAAAATGGTCAGAGTTGTGGCAGCTGACTATTAATATGGATAAGTGCAAGATAATGAATCTTGAACATAAAAACCCAATTTGATAGAGTCCTAACCTCAACATCTGAGGAAAGGGATTTAGGGGTAATTATTTCTGATGACTTAAAGGTAGGCAGACAATGTAATAGAGCAGCAGGAAATGCTAGCAGAATGCTTGGTTGTATAAGGGAGAGTTATAAGCAGTAGAAAGATGGAAGTGCTCATGACATTGTACAGAACACTGGTGAGACCTCACTTGGAGTATTGTATGCAGTACTGAAGCCCGTATCTCCAGAAGGATATTGATACTTTAGAGAGAGTTCAGAGAAGGGCTACTAAACTGGTTCATGGATTGCAGGATAAAACTTACAAGGAAAGGTTAAAGGATCTTAACATGTATAGCTTGGAGGAAAGACAAGACAGGGGGGACATTTAAATACATAAAGGGAATCAACACAGTAAAGGAGGAGACTATATTCAAAAGAAGAAAAACTACCACAACAAGAGGACATAGTCTTAAATTAGAGGGGCAAAGGTTTAAAAATAATATCAGGAAGTATTACTTTACTGAGAGGGTAGTGGATGCATGGAATAGCCTATCAGCTGAAATGGTAGAGGTTAACACAGTGAAGAAGTTTAAGCATGCGTAGGATAGGCATAAGGCTATCCTAGACTTAAGATAAGGCCAGGGACGAATGTGAGTATTTAAAAAATTGGGCAGACTATATGGGCCAAATGGTTCTTATCTGTCGTCACATTCTATGTTTCTATTTCTCTATGCTAAAATGGTCTGACTACTTATCGTGGGAATGAGTTTAATAGTTATGGTGCTTGGAGTGTTCCTTTAAAGTATGTGAACTGACCCGCCAATTCATTATCTAGAAACAAATCAAAACCATAACCCGGGGGTAGGGCTGGACAGACATGATGTTCAGAAGCTTTTTCTCCAAACTCTTGCTCTGATGCCCTGAGTCTGGGCCATCCTGTTTAATAAAGTTAGTTTTGGCTGGAGTTTGGGGCACATCACTCTACCAGATGGACTGGTTATTTTCTAATGTACAGCCCCACAGAGGTCTACCACCCATGTGCAGCCTACACCTGCTACGCTTGCTGTCAGGTCAGATTATAGGCTTCTGTTTCAAGGATACATTTAAATTGTCATCTGCAATATGTTTGGCACTGGAGGTGTTCGATGGAATTTTCAGAATATGCATCGCTCCTATGCCACATTGCAGAGCTGATCCTGGGTGGGTACTGGGTGGGTACAAAGAGGTGGATTGGCAGGGTGTACAGTGCTAGGCTTCATCCCTCACATTAGGTTCTGCCCCCTTTCATTAGACCTTGCCCACTCACAATAGGCAAGACTTGTTGTCCTCAGCTTGTAGAAAGAGCGAAGCAACCTCTTGTGGGACCTTACATGAGGGGGCAGAGCCTAGCACACCACACCCCTCTGATCCGCCTCTTTGTACCCAACCAAAATCGTCTCTGCCATGCAGTTAAAGGACATGCTTCTGTGGTGAGTGGTGGTCCACTCACCTTAGGCTCGGTTCTGTTCTTCTTCATGCTGGCCCCCTTCCCACCTCATTTATGTGGCAACATTAAGCTCTCTGGAAAGATAGCCTTTTGCCTGAGTCTTTTGAATGCCTGTGGCATTACACCTCTAAGAGGTCTGGGTGCTGATTTAGGGTTCTGCTACCTATCCACAGTACTAAAAAAGTGTGCTAAGGATGGCTTTCGAGTGCAGCCTTTTGGATGTGGCTCCGAGGATATGCTGCTAATTATATCTGCCCAGACATTTTTTATATATATATATTTTAATTTCATATATTTTTTTTTATTTTTTATTCATATCATGTCAATTATTTATTTTATTATTTTTAATTATTGTTATTTTTATTTGTACCTTGAGTTTCTAATTACCATTGCTTGGTGGAGGGCCAGACAATCTCTTGCAAATGAGCTGGGAACGATTCCACCAGGTCTATGCTGGATTATTTTTAAGCTAGCTTTCTTATTAAGTTTTATTCCCACTATTATTATTTAAATGTCGCTATCTATGTTAAAAATGTGAATTGAGAAATAAATAATAATAATAATAATGTGAAAAAAATAAATTAAATAAAAATAAATAAATAAATAAATATATAATTATATTATATATATATTTATATAAATATATATAATTTTCAGGTTTCAACAAATGTAATAGTTTAAAAAAACCGATAAGTAATAGGCTGATGACAGTTGTCCTTTAATGCCCCTTAATAATAATTAAAAAAAAATTCAATATAGAAAACGTTATCAACCACTGGTGATGAATTACTACATTCAACAAACCTGACAGTTACCCAATTTGGTGGTTTGATCTGTATGAAAATACACCATTACATTCATATATACACATCCTGATCTTTTAGTATAATGCATCAATCACAAAAGAGAATATGTTGATTCATCCATTCAGTTTGAGACATATGTTTGTAGAACATGTATACAGTGATTACGATTTATGAAAAAATGATAACAGTTTCAATGACAGAGTTAGACTGCTCTAACTGATAAGTCTTGCATCATTTGTGTGTGTGTGGGGAAGGGTGAGGGGGGAGGGGGAGAGTGTGTAATGTATGTGTGGATTTATAATTTAGCAAGAAGAGCTTGATCATTTCAGATAATGTTGCAGTTTAATTGAAACATCCATGCATCCTTGTTCTGCATTAAACTGTAACTTTTCTGATTTGAGGATTTTCAATTTAACCACAATGTTTATAAAACAAAACAAAACAAAAAAAACATTCTATTGCAATGTCTATATATATATAATCATACATTCCTTATTGATTTTTTTATGTTTTGCTGTTTAGATTCAAATTTGATCAAAGTAGACATGAATGAATCTAAACCTCTAGTTTTTAACGAATGCATGAAGCACATCAGTTTTGGCAATGAATCGATATGGCATGACAGTGAACAAGAATCCAACTTGACTCAAGGAACCCTCCATCGACTCTTCATTGGCGCCCAACGCCAGGAACCCAGCCATGTCGCCATACCAGCCACCATCTTTTACAGCCTCCTCTTTATATTTGGCACCCTGGCTAATGGTCTCAGCATCCTAACTCTCTTAAAAAATGGAAAAATTAAAGTGAGCTCTGTTCGCTTTTACCTCCTCAGTTTGGCTCTGGCAGATGTTTTGTTGCTTCTAACAATCCCAGTCACACTTTACCGGTACTTCTGGCAGTATTACCCTTGGGCTCTTTCCGACGCTGTATGTAAGCTTTACTTTATGATAAGGCAGGTTTACTGTGCTACAACCAGCTGGACCATTATTGCATTTACTTTAGAGAGATATATTGCAATTTGCCACCCGATGTGGTCCGTTACTGGCCTTCGTAAATCTCGCATGGTCTATCTGTTGGCTTTCATCTGGCTTTTGGCTTTACTTACCACCATCCCAGTAGCTATAGTGTATGGTGAATCATCAGCCTGTATCTTAGACTACACAGCCACGTCCCAGGAGGAAGCTGTACTCGATTCTACTGTATGTGAAATGCTGGAACAAAAGCCTTTTATTGTCTACAAGAGCATTCTGCAGACGCGCAGTATTTTGTTTTTTGTCATGCCATTGTTGGTCATTATTATTTTCCACGTACTGATTTTCCATCACTTAAAGCTGAACCATCGTCAGAGGAAGAAGATCAGCCTTACCGGCACACATTTGCATTTTGCATCCACTCACGTGAAACATCCTCGAAGTCGACCGTTTTCTGAAAAAAAGGCTCGACAACTTATGGGTGAGTAGTTTATTGAAATTACTATATCAAAGCTATTCATTAACTATCTAAACCTAAACAGTAAAGAAGCAGGAAGCAAAATGTCAAATTAAATAGAAAATTACGGTTTTCTTAATTGGACATTTGCTGCCTGCCTCATTATTATTTTTATTGTTATTTTAAATAGTTTTTGTTTAATAAATTATTCTGGAAGCATTAAAGGAAGCATCTTATCTCCAGGTTTGTGTTATTGACTTAAGGAAGTGTTACCCCACAAACTGACATGTTTGTCATTTTATGTGTGTATCTGTAAGCCCTGGAAAAAAACAGAGAGGTCCAGGCACTCCAGATATCAGTGGAATAGGCAATTTATTGAACTCACAGCCAAAGCAACATTTTGACCAAACTGGTCTTTATCAAGCCATCAACTACACACATTGAAGGATCACTATAGGATCAGGAACACAAACATGTATTCCTGACCCTATAGTGATAAAACCAACATCTAGCCCCCCTGGGTCCCTCATGCCTCCATAAATATAGTAAAAATCTTACTGTACTCATGCCTGAAACTGTAACTCTGCATGCTGTTAGACTCAGAAAAACAGCAGTCTGCTGACGTCATCAGAAGTGGTAGCCTGATCCAATCACAGTGCTTACCCATAGGATTGGCTGAGACTGACAAAGAGGCAGATCAGGGACAGAGCCAGCATGATTCAAACACAGCCCTGGCCAATCAGCATCTCCTCATAGAGATGAATTAAATCAATGAATCTCTATGAGGAAAGTTCAGTGTCTGCATTCAGAGGGAGGAGATACTGAATGTTTGGATGCATTTTAGGCAGCCATGACCCAGGAAGGATCTCTAACAGCCATCTAAGGAGTGGCCAGTGAAGTTATTACTAGGCTGTAATGTAAACACTGCATTTTCTCTGAAAAGACAGTGCTTACAGCAAAAAGCCTGAAGGGAATGGTTCTACTCACCAGAACAAATTCAATAAGCTGTAGTTGTTCTGGTGACTATAGTGTCCCTTTAAGTACAATTTATAGGTGTACAAAAACAAACAAGGTGAAAAGAATCAGTTAATTAATAAAAAAACAAATAAATAAACTAGAAAAGCTACAATTTCTGGGGAAATTGTGTGAAGTGTTCTTGCCTCCACCAGTAGTCTACATCTGGAGTGGGCGGAGTAACTGTTATCATTTACATAGCACATTTAATTGCAATGTTGTTGCACAGTTACATTAAACCATACATTTATAAAAGCATTAGCAGGTGTTCAAAAGGCCCTGTCTATGACATCACTTGCTGCAGCAGCCTGGCACAGGTCAGAGTATTTTGGCGGTTGCCATTTTCAAACGGTCATATTTTAAAAACTATAAATCCTACAGCGAAGAGCTTTATATTGTGAGAATCACGAGACCCAGACCTACATTTTGATACATAGTATGTCTCTGAAGTATTAAAAATGAAGGCACAGTCGCAGTTTAGAAATTGCACTTCAAATCTGAGCTTTGTAGAGTGAAGTTTCAATGAATGTCAATGGACGGCGTTAATTGTAAACAAATGATTATATTGTGAAAACTATCAGGACTATGGCTTAGCCGTTGACATGTTTAGTGGCAGCAGGGATAGCTGAACGTTTTGATATAAGATTTGTGTAGGTGGGCCTGAAAATAAGGGAGTGGTGGCAGTTTAGAAATCATGTCCTGATTTTTCAGCTTTTGCCAGCTCCCACTCTAGCTTTGCCATTCATTCCTATGGGACAAATTTCGCCACAAGAACGACGATATTCCGTGAACCATTCGGCGAAACGTTCCACAAAGTAATAGCAATCCGATCGGGAACAATCTGCACGTTTTGGTAAATTTTGGTCTATGTAGTGTAAAAACTGTGGGAGGAGTTAGGGTGGCAAATTTGGCTATAATAATAATAATAATATATATGTGAGATAACAATAAGTGGTCTTGCTATGCAAGAACACTTAATTACACTTACCCTAAACATAAGGGATGTCAGCTGTGTATAGGTGAGTCAAATACAAACTCTGGCCGGAAATAATTGAGGCTCCAAAATTAGCTGGGAAAATTTTAAACTAGATAATTAATTCCTGTCAGAAGCTCCCAGAACGCCCATAATGTCCGCGTAATGACGTCTATAGAGGGCAACAAAAGTGTACCTTACGTACACATAAGACGTCTACATAATGACGTCAGACGTTAACTACTATAGCGACATTAACATTGCGAATCAAGAATAGACTCGGACTGTGCATGTGCATGATAACAAATCTTAGTGCATGCGCATTTGCAACAAATATTAAACAAATAGAAAATAATGTTAAAAAGCCCATAAGACAAAACTGATAAAAAAGAAAAAAGTCCAAAAGATACAACAGCTGACAATCCTCATATGGGTGTACAAAGAATAATAAATAATAATGTACTAATTAATATATATGTGTATTAAGTTTTCTCTCAGCAGCCCTCCTAGCAAAAGAATAAACATATTCCTTTAACATCCCTAATATTAAGAATATACAATCCAAGGGCATCATAAGTGTTCATAAAGCATATCACAATATAAGATCTCCATACTGGAGATGTGTAAGACACATAGTATATATTAATATATATAGATACAAAATTATTCATTAAAAAAAAAATATATATATGAGATGTATAAGAGAATCAGGAGATGGTATGTATCTGAGAGAGTTATCAAGAGCCCTGGCTCACTCACCTGCAATTCCCATGCCACGCCTGGCCTCACTCCTTGATCCCTCTTCAGCATCTGGTCCACCAGTGTGTTCACTGCTGAAGAGGGAAGGCTGGCAAGCTCACAACGGCATTGAAACGCCACGGTCTGTGTATATCTTTTGTCAGTATATGTATATGTGTGTTTATGTATCAATATGTATGTATCTGTGTGTGTCAGTGTATATATATGTGTGTTTGCGGGTGTATCTGTATGTTGTCAGTATGTGCATCTTTGTATCTGCATGTGTGTATCGGTGTATCTGTCTATCTGTAATTGTGACAGTGTTTTTATATGTATGTCTGTGTTTCAGTGTGTGTATCTGTGTATCTGCATGTGTGTATGTGTATTACTCTGTATGCGTATCACACGTGTGCCAGTGTATGTGTATGCGTATATGTGCATACATCACAGCATTCAAACACCAACACTACACACAAATGCACCCCTGCATTTAAATGTCAACAGTACATAGAAACACACCCTTGCATTGTAATGTCAACACTACATACAAGTATACCTTTGTATTAAACACCAAAATTAATCCCCCGCCTGGCCCCCAAAAAAGTTGCCACCAAAAAAAAGGTCACACTCTAATATTTTGTTGGACCGCCTTTAGCTTTGATTACAGCACGCATTCGTCATGGCATTGTTTTGATAAGCTTTTGCAATGTCACAAGATTTATTTCCATCCAGTATTGCATTAATGTTTCACCAAGATCTTGTATTGATGATGGTAGAGTCAGACCACCACGCAAGTGCGCAAAGCCTTCTCCAGCATGTCCCAAATATTCTCATTGGGGTTAAGGTCTGGACTCTCTGGTGGCCAATGCATGTGTGAAAATCATGCTCCCTGAACCACTCTTTCACAATTTGAGCCCGATGAATCCTGGCATTGTCATCTTGGAATATACCCATGCCATCAAGGAAGAAAAAATCCATTGATGGAATAACCTGGTCATTCAGTATATTCAGGTAGTCAGCTGACCTCATTCTTTTGGGCACATAATGTTGCTGAACCAAGACCAGACCAACTACAGCAACCCCAGATCATAGCACTGCCCCCATAGGCTTGTACAGTAGGCACTAGGCATGATGGGTGCATCACTTCATCTGCCTCTCTTCTTACCCTGATGCACCTTTCACTCTGGAACAGGGTAAATCTGGACTCACCAGACCACATAACCTTCTTCCATTGATCCAGAGTCCAATCCTTATGCTCCCTAGCAAATTGAAGCATTTTATTTCCTGATTAGCCTCACTGATAAGTGGTTTTCTTAAGGCTACACAGCTGTTCAGTCCAAATCTCTTGAGTTCCCTTTGCATTGTGCATGTGGAAATGCTCTTACTTTCGCTATTAAATATAGCCCTGAGTTCTGCTGTTGTTTTTTTCTATGATTTGATTTCACCAAACGTTTAAGTGATCACCGAACAAGATCAATCAGGATTTTTTTCAGACTACATTTCTTCCCCGAAGGCGATGGTTCCCCACTGTCCTTCCAGTTATTAATAATGCATTGGACAGTTCTTAGCCCAATTTTAGTAGTTTCTGCAATCTCCTTAGATGTTTTCTCTGCTTGATGCATGCCAATGACTTGACCCTTCTTAAACAGACTAATATCTTTTCCACAACCACGGGATGTGTCTTTCGACATGGTTGTTTAAGAAATGAGAAGCTTCTAATGTCATCAGTTGGGGTTAAATAACTTGTTGCCAGCTGAAAGATTATCGCCCCTGCAGTAACTATCTAATAGGAGGCTCTTACCTATTTGCTTAGTTGAATCCAGGTGGTGACCTTTTTTTGTGGCTAGGCAGTGTATATCAACGCTTAAAACGTTAACACTACATTCAAACACACCCCACATTCACACACGTACAAAAACTGACATTCAAACACACAAACACTGCTCAGTGCAAAATACAACCCTGCAAGCATGGGAAATGGTAGAGTCCCAGCTGTCAAAGCACTGTGAGAGATGTAGGATCTATCTTTTGGCCACCCTTGAGAAGGGGGGCCCAATAAAAATATTGCACCATGGCCCTCTCTATGTTAGTTCTGTCACTGGAGTGTACCTATCACTGATTGCCTTTCGGCACCTTGTATTATAAGATCTGCACTATATGCAGTTTTTTGTTTCCTATTTATTTTGCATATAATGTGGATTTTACTCCCTGTGAATCATGTGTGTAAGAGGGTAAGATAGCCCTCTTTTTTCTTCCTAGTGCTCCACTACTATCATCTATTATTTACATGTGTTACACTTATAATTCACTTTTATGAGCTTTACACTTCTAATACATTAATAGAGTTAAGGTGTACCGAGGTGGGAAATTAGAAGAAGGACGCAGGGGAAGGAGGGAAAAGAAGAAGTGAATAACTGCAAAAGGTGGGAGGGAGGAGAAGAACAAGTGAGCAAAGGGGAGTGGGGACATAACAGGAGAACAAGCAAATGAAAGGGGAGATTAGAGGTAAACAAGTGATGAATGGGGGAGTGGGGGGAAGCAGAGAAAAATTGCATGAAGCAGGGGAACAGAAGAGTTGAACAGGTGATTTAAGGATGAGAGAAGAAAAAAGAGGGAAGCAAGTGAGAAATTTGGAAAAGAAAAGTTGAACAAGTAAGAAATGGGAAAAAGAAGTGAACAAGTAAGAAAAGGGGGAGATGAGGGGAACAATTGGAGGAAAGAAGGGTTATGTGGAGAGAGGCATAATTGGGGAGAAGGGGAGAGGGATACATGTTAGTGGAAGATAAATTAAAAGACGGGCATGGAGAGAGATAAAGAGGGACAGATGGTTATTGGAAACATATAACATGTCACCAGATGTGTAACGAGAAACCACCGTGCCTCGGTGCAGAAATAGCCCCCCATGTGTCCTATCCCCCCCATGCGTCTCATTTATTCTCCCCCCAGTTCCTCACTGTGTCTCTTTCCCACCCCAGCCCCTCCATGTGTTGCACTCTCCCCCACAGCTCCTCCATGTGTCTTATTCTTCCTCCTAGCCCCTCTATGTGTCTCCTTCTCTCCCCAAACACCTTCATATGTCTAATCCCCTCCATGTGTCTCATTCTCCCCCCCCCCAACACCCTCCATGTGTCTCTTATTCTTCTCCCTGGACCATCCATGTGTCTCATTCTCCCACTAGCTCCTCCATATGTGTCATTCTCCCTTCAGACCCTCCATGTGTGTCATTACCCCAAGCCCCTCCATGTTTCTCATTCTCCCCCATAGCCCTTCCATGTGTCTCATTCTCCCCCCTCTATGGGTCTCATTCTCCTCTTCAGCTCCTCCATGTGTCTCATTCTCCCCCTAGCCACTACATGTGTCTCATTCTCGCCACTCCATGTGTCTCATTCTCCCCACTTCATGTGTCTCATTCTCCCCCAGCTCCTCCATGTGTCTCATTCCCCCCCCTAGCCACTCCCATGTATCACATTCTCCCCACTCCATGTGTCTCATTCTCCCCTCAGCTTCTCCATGTGTCTCATTCCCCCATCCTCCTTCGTTCCTGTACATGCTCACCGAGGTGCCTGATCTGACAGGAAGTCCTTGTTGATCTCAGTAAGCACTTTCTGTCATACTGCGGTCCGCTCGGCCCACACTACATACAGTGACTGGCAGGAGAGGTGTGCTGTGGGCTCTCCTACTGAAAGTCCCCTGGTGATCGCACACCGTAGGCCGGTACAGTCCTGCCCTGAAGTTATACCGAGAGTGATGGGCTGGTCACAGCTGTGACCCCTGCGACTGCTGTAATTACGCCACTGCATGTCACCTGCTCCCACCCACCTTGCACTTATTGCCATTCATCCACCTACATTGTCATATTTGCCAGAAAATCATTCCTCAAACAAGTCACATTCATCCATCCATCCAAAAACATACACGAAGCTTCATATCTATTACAGATTGGGGCGTATTGAGGAAACTGGCCTTGGGGCAACAGGAAGGGTAAATCTGTCCCCTGAGGATATACACTGCAAAATATATTGGACAAATACATGTAGTTTACAGAGATAGCTGGTAATTTAAAACACATAATTTAAACACATTTATCAATGCAACAGGGGTTATTGTCTAAAAAAGAATCATCAAATCATATTCAAGCCTTATATTTAAAGAGCAACTGTCAGCCCCAAAATATTTTTAATAAACTAATCCTTTCATCATCAAGTATTAAAAGGAAAATGTTTTCTTAAAGAAGTATACATAAAAAAAAAAAAAATTAGGAAAACTCATCCCTAGTACATGACTAAATCCACTAAACATACACACGTGGTCAGTCACAGTCCTTGAAAACTGATAGTCTCTATAGTCGTCCCTGCTTCTGTGAAACGAGTGAAGCAGGGAAGACCATAGAGACTAACTCAGTTTTCAAACACTGTCTGACACAGGGTGTATTTACAGTTGTACTCAAAATGATTTAACCTTCATTAAAAATCGGTCTTATTGTAAAAATGTAAAGACTTTCAGCAGTTTGCAATGAACAGATCAAACAAAAGCAATTGGAATAGCTCAACACAACCAATGCTTTAAGTGGTTTCCCCAAATTCAAAATTAGTGTGTCCGTATGGATGGACATTGCAATGGAATGTCAATCTCATCCCACTCGCTGGGGGTAAACAGGGAAAGTAGCATTTAATAGGCGTGGATGGACTGGTTTGGGTTGAAGAGGCTAGTATGTGATAATGCCATATGCAGGTACTGCCCGTTTGGATATCAGCTTCAACATTCGCATCACACAATAAAAATCCAAAAAAAGAAATAAACACGATCTTCGGCAGGTAACATTGAAATATTTTTTACTGAAAATATTCTGGTGTGTTACCTAATTATTGTAAATATTAACGGTCATTAAATAAAATTTAAAGTGTACCTGTCAATATAATTGATCACAAATGTATATATTTTTTGAAAAGTCAGTTTAAACAATTTCCCCCTCATTCACCTGTCAATCAACTCTTAGCATAGACCACTAGGCTGACAGTTGAGTGACCGAGAAGAGCAGAAGAAACGTCTTGAGATGTTTCTCTAGCTTGACATCACAGCAACTACAAACACTGTAGCTGCACTGATATGTTTCTTGCAAGTATGTCTCCTAATTTCTGGGGAGGGGGGGTGGGGTACAGGAATGAAGTGACAGATATAATTGCATTCTGATGCCATTGCACTGGCCATCATGCTCTAGTCATTAGGTAGAATTGTCCGATTTCAGGAAAGGTCTCCAGTCTGAACCAATCATGCAAGAGAGGGGTGAGCAGGATGGAGGTTTAACATCCACATTCTTCCATTCACGGGGGAGCTGGCAAGCTGATGCATGATATCTTAATTGGTTTAAGAGCTGTTATTTGGCCATTTACCATATTCCTGCTTCCCCGTAAAAGATATAGTCCTCCTTGCATCTTCCATAAGAATTTTAAATCCCATCTCTGCATCTCTCAGCATTAATGCATCACCTCTTACATTCCTGTCTTAACTGGCCATAGAAAGTGGCATTGTCTATTGAAATGTAGCCAACATGTCTATAATTTACCCCCTGAGGAAGATAATCCAGGTGGCAAAACTCATAATTAAACCTGTTCCCATTCTACACTCCACAAGGCTACATTGGGAGGAGCGTGTTTCGGTGAGATTTATTTATGTGTTTTAAAAGCACAGCAGGTGGTACTTAGTCACCATTCCTAATTTAAAATTTACAGCAAACTCCAAAACACACGTTCTCACTGTTCTTTGACAAACCTTGTTTCATTTGTTTAAAGCATAAAAGTTTAGGGATAACATTTATTTTTTTTGCTCTTCAAACCACCAGTTATTAGGTTTTTTATGTTATAGATGCCACATATCTCTTCTATGCAGTGTAAAGTGAGAAGTTAATTTGAATTCACATCACAGTTTGCGTGCGTTTATTTAATTCACCGATGAGGAAGTAAGTAGTGTTTTGTTTTCACTCATATCCTATAATAGTTTATGCTCTTTGCTTTCTGTGGAACATCAGCGTTTGATTAAGCCAATCTCGCACCAGTCAGAGCCATCCAGGCTGAATGCCAAAATGTTTGCTTTTGTTAGTTTAACATGCATTCAAAGGCTGCTGCATATATCATTGTCACAATGGGGTCTGGGTTCAGTATAATATGCGGTATATAGAGGTATTCTAACAGAACACGCAGCTTTACTTGTTACTAGCCATTTTGACCTGTGACTCACTGATTGCTGTGATGATAAAGCCTATTGATGATTCACAAGATATATATAAAATATTAATCTTTGGCTTTGTAAGGTGCATTAACTATATTTCAACAGTACACACAACAAGTCTTCATGTGTACCATCTATTTGTGTTAATAAGGGCATACAGCAGTCCACATGACTCGAGCAGGGCAAGATTAAGAGCCCAGTGGGCCTGGTGCTGACAATTATGATGGGGCCTAATTACAGAATCTTATCGACCAAAAACACTAAAACAGTCATACCTCCCAAGCGTCATGTATCTGATGGAGATGGTGTTGGAGGGAAACTCAAAGGATGTAGCTATAAGAAAACACATACTCTATGCTAATCTCTCTCTAATTTATGCTTTCAAGTAAATACATACCCACTAACAGCAGTGTCCAGTGAAGCAGGAAGTCAATGGGCGGGGTAAAAGGGTGGACCACTGACTCGAATCCCGTTACCAGAACTGCCAAAAAGGGCATGTCTGTCCAAAGAATTGGACGCCCAGTCCTCTAGTCTTCCAGTGTCTCAGTGTCCTCATTTCTCCCCGTGTCCCCATGTCTCAGTGTTTCCCTTGTCACTAGGATACTAGGGGACACAGTGAGACATGGGGACACAGTGAGACATGGGGACACTTGTGGATACAGACATGGGGACACTGGGAGACATGGGGACAGTGGGAGACATGGAGACACGGAGACATGGGGACACGGAGACATGGGGGACTAGGGGACACTGGGAGACTAAGGGAAACTGGGAGACATGGGGACACTGAGACACTAGGGACACTGGTTGGGAGGCTTGAGGACACTGAGACATGGGGGCACTTGTGGACCCAGACATGGGAACACTGGGAGACATGGGGACACTGAAAAATGTGGGGGAACTAGCAGACATGGGGACACTGAGACACTAGGGACACTGGCTGTGAGACATATGGACACTGGGAGAAATATATTTGGGGACACTGGGAGACATGGGGACACATACACTGGGAGACTAGGGGACACTGGGTGCCGTGGAGACACTGAGACACTAGGGACATTGGCTGGGAGACATGGGGACACTGGGAGACATGGGACACTGAAACATTTTGGGACACTTTGAGACATGGGGACAATGAGACTCTAGGGACACTGGGAGACATGAGGACACTGGGAGACATGGTGTCCCTATGTCTCACAGTGTCCCCAAGTGTCTCAGTGTTCCCATGTTTCCCTCCTGCCTTTCCCACCCATCCTTCACTTCCCTGAGCTGTTGTCTGTCTACAGACTGTTAGCTGCTGTCTGAACTCTCTGTGCTGTGTAGCTGCTCCCCCGCGGATCAGTGACTAGAGAGAGGCAGGGAGGGATATGCTGTAACTTCCTATCCCTGCCTCTCTCCACACACAGTGACCCCTACTGGCTGGTACTGGTATTGCAGAGTAATCTCAATTTATAAATCAAAAAAAGTTTAAATGTTGGATAAACAGGTCCAACAATTTAAGCAAAAGCTGGAAAAATAATAATATAAATTAGAATGAATAATAACTAATCAAATATCTATTCCAAATCTCTGCCTAAGTTATAGTGTTCTACCCACACCAAAATCGTGTTATCAGCCAAAAAAGGCTATGCCTCCCTCATAACATACTGTGACTGAAATATGTCTCCGACTATTTGACTTTAATATAACTTAATAGGTCACAGTCTGTACTATATTGTCCTAATACTATGGAAACAGTCACAGAAAGAAAGTCCTGATTCTAAATGGGTCTGCCTGTGAGAGCAGACAAAAATAATCAATCAATAATCTCTAAGTAAATCTCAAAAATACTAATAAATATGTTCCAAAATAGAGTGAGTAGTAAAAAGGATAGTGTTAAGTACCTAGTGTATCCAAAGAGTATCAAAATAGTCTCTATAATAGAGTGTAACACTTGATCTAATATAGTTAAACCCTATAAGGAGAATGCTAATCATAATCACATAGTTACAAACTACAAAACTGTATCTCCTTATCAGGATATAAATGAAGTTAGAGAATCAGGACTGAGAGGGAGGTTTAGAAAGGTATTAAAATGCTAATGTGCAGAGCCATACTTAGGATGTTGGCTGCCTGCACATAGTGGAAGTGAAAGGGCCCTAATGTGACAGTGAGATAGAAAAGAAAAGCGGAAAAACCCGACGCGCGTTTCGGTGCTTAAAGCATGCACCTTCGTCAGGGGTCAGAATTGAAGTGACTCACTCCAGTCTAGTTTATATATCCCTTCAGTTATAGCCTTACTTACTCTCGGACCAATCGTGGAACGCTAGGGTAACCGTTATAATTGATGCCGAAATTACCGGCGTTAAGTTAAAGATGACGTAATACAAATGCCCCAATCGTGTTCTAAACGGGGCGGAGTTAACTTACTAATGAATCGTTAACTCTTCAATGTCCTTTATATCAGATATCAAATATACTCGACATGAACTAACAATGCCAGATGTATAAATCTTCACTATAATCATAAGTGGGATAAAGTAAAGGAAATTGTTCCTAACGATTTTATTATGTTTAATGCCAGATACCTTGGCATTCATAGACTCTGTAAAGTCCAATGATGTTAATGTCTTTTCATGATATAAAGAGTCAATGTGACCGGAATAGAATTAAAATTAAAAATGAAAGTAAAAATAGAAAATCTTATGTAAATTAAATTTACTGTTGTAAGGGGATGCTCAATCCATTCGAAAATATGTCCATCACTTATAATAATCTAAGTCTATTTGATCAACTAAACTACATTGAATTAGATAATAAATGGTTCTAAAGTGAAATCATAAATGTGGATATCGATCCATCTGTTAGGCTTTGTTATCATAGATGCAGATGTATATTTCATCCCGTAAGTGCTAGAAGAAATGCCAATAATGTTAATGCATAAAGGTAAAAACTGCTTCAAAAGAGGTAGTACAAAAAATAATAATGATGATCACTGAACTAGAAGAAAACAATAATGTTAGGTCCTCTTATATAATATGTTTAAGGGGCTCGTTATTATCTCTCTAGCTTTACCAAAAAGAGAATAGCGTGATGTAAATTCTGATTGAAATATTTAAAGATAGAGCCGATAGCCGTGAACGATCGGCTGTATCTAATACATCACTATAATCTGGTCATCTCTTCGTGGCTAATAATTAAATGAGACTATCGTGTCACAAAGATGGATATATCCTCTTAACCTAATATAGATCCGTTCGATCGTCAATTAGTGGAATTTTAAAATTCCAAAATGAATGAAATGAACATAAAATCCACTAATGTGATACATCAATGCCCGATATTCATAAAACAATTACCGATGTTGCCAGTGAGCTGTTAATCAATTTAATTTAAAAGATGTAAGCTCACATGGGGACAAATAGCAAGAATTTGACAGTTAGAGTTTAAATTTTAAAGGCAGAGGGGACTATATCAAATAAATTGCTGGAGTTACAAGTTCCTAATAGTGATAGTGAAAAATAACTAAAGATAGAGAAAGGAAAAGAAAGTATATACAATATATGAAATAATTAGATTAAATAATATTAGCACTTAATTATTATTATTATTAGAGTTCTTCAATGTACTGGTTAAAGTCTGATCCTAATATTTAATCAGAAATAAAGGGTGTATAAGAAAAGCCTTCATTTAAGCTAGAACTGAAGGGATATATAAACTAGACTGGAGTGAGTCACTTCAATTCTGACCCCTGACGAAGGTGCATGCTTTAAGCACCGAAACGCGCGTCGGGTTTTTCCGCTTTTCTTTTCTATCTCACTGTCACATTAGGGCACTTTCACTTCCACTATGTGCAGGCAGCCAACATCCTAAGTATGGCTCTGCACATTAGCATTTTAATACCTTTCTAAACCTCCCTCTCAGTCCTGATTCTCTAACTTCATTTATATCCTGATAAGGAGATACAGTTTTGTAGTTTGTAACTATGTGATTATGATTAGCATTCTCCTTATAGGGTTTAACTATATTAGATCAAGTGTTACACTCTATTATAGAGACTATTTTGATACTCTTTGGATACACTAGGTACTAAACACTATCCCTTTTACTACTCACTCTATTTTGGAACATATTTATTAGTATTTTTGAGATTTACTTAGAGATTATTGATGGATTATTTTTGTCTGCTCTCACAGGCAGACCCATTTAGAATCAGGACTTTCTTTCTGTGACTGTTTCCATAGTATTAGGACAATATAGTACAGACTGTGACCTATTAAGTTATAGTAAAGTCAAATAGTCGGAGACATATTTCAGTCACAGTATGTTATGAGGGAGGTATAGCCTTTTTTGGCTGATAACACGATTTTGGTGTGGGTAGAACACTATAACTTAGGCAGAGATTTGGAATAGCTATTTGATTAGTTATTATTCATTCTAATTTATATTATTATTTTTCCAGCTTTTGCTTAAATTGTTGGACCTGCTTATCCAACATTTAAGCTTTTTTTGATTTGTAGCATTTCATAGGGGTTAAACCCCTGGACATAACTGGAGTGTCCACACAGGTTCTGTTGTGGGTTCCGAAGTACGTTTCTCCTTTAAGGATTGAATTCTTACTAGGAAAGTCCACAACTTTATTTCTAATCTCCATTTATACTGAGAAAAATATCTGCATTTGTATTGCCGGTATTACTGCAATACTGGCACGGCCAGGCAGCCCCAAATACCAGCTGTGCTGGTAAAATACCAGTCAGGTGGGAAACCCAAGAGTATTGTGTGTAAAAACAAAACAAAAAAAAGTTACTAAAAATATATATATATATATTTTTAAATGGGCCTATTCCATGACATTCCAAGACATACTTAGGTTGCTTGGCACCTGGGAGAAATTGCATTTTGCCCCCTTCCCAAATTGTCTCTCATGGCTCTCTGTATCGCTTATGCTCCTCTTATGTCTCTTACACCCCCTTGTGTCTCTTACGCCCATTTGTGTGTCTCTTATGCCTTCCTCATGTCTCAAATGTCCCCACTATGTCTGCTATTAGCCACCTCTGGTCCTTACCATCTTGTGTCTCTCCCCCCTTTGTTTCTTTCACCCCTCTCTTGTGTCTGGTTTCTTCCCGACCTCTAAATGGCTAGCCCATTCATATGGAATGTTCTTCTCCACAGAATCTTCCTTATTCGCCTGTTCTTTATACATATTCTTAAAGGAATACTCTAAGCACCAACACCACTACATCATTGGTGCATAAATGCTATCCCTTTTTCTGGACAATGTTAAACTTTGCTTTTTTAACCAGACATTACGACTGCATCTTCCTTCACATTCTTTGATTTTCAAAGGTTTTCATGATTGGCATTATTAAAACCAGCATGGTGATGCCAATCATGTATTTAGGATATTGCAGACCTAGCGTCTGCTTGTTGTAAATAACAGCATGCTGAGCTGTCAGTCAGTTTATCCATTGAAAATGTTCACACTGCGTACATGCACAGTGCAGTCCTCTGTAAATGCTTCCCTGTGAGATACATTGGATTAGCCGAACATCATAAAGCTTGATGAATTCAAAGTAGATGGATTAGCTGTGGTGGGGCATCGGTGGTGGAAGAAAATTCTGTTTAACTTTCTTTTTCTATAAAAGAGGTGGGGGAGGGCTGAATCTAAATATACACAGACACAGTGGGTTTAATTTTTTTTTAAATATACTATTTTATTAAAGAACTGCTTGGACAGTTATTTAGAGAAATGATTAATAACAAATCTCCAAAAACAATTTAATTCTATTGGACATTACATGCCATGCTTTCCAGTGTCTGCTCCAACCTTCATTTCACCTTTTTCGTATACTCCTTCCTACCTTATGTAGCAAAGATCTAGAAGTTTTTTAGACCACTTAAATTATGCATACTATTTTCTAAGACTGTATAGTAACCAGATCCACCATGTTTTCAGGGAGACATGTGTATATATTGATGGGCAGCCAAGAAAAGGGTTGCCCTCTGTAACAGATGCCCTGTTCCTGGATATTACTTTTATTTTGCCTGGATTGATATACGAATCCAACCGAACCGATTTGCCCCAGCTGGTTCGTGTGCCGAACGCTTGAACCACACAAAGCAGTCGTGTGCTGCCAATTGACCCAATTGACCTTACAAACACTTGTTCTTACTGCAACACTGAACATTCTAAGGGATTCACTGGGTGGTCGTCAATACGTATGTACGAACACGTGGCGGCGGCCATCTTGTTTTGTCGAATGCATCTAGCGGTGTTTGGGCGTCGAGTGTATGGAACTATTTTCGGACACTCAACTGCCCGAACACCACTGAGATTTCCAGGATCACTTAGGTTCTTTCCAAATCATCCGAAAAAGGCGGTGTTCGGTGAAACCCAACCCCTGAACAAGGGGCACACAACTAGCTTTCCCAAAATGGTTATTTTAGACATTTTGTTGCATTTGAAGCCCATGAAAGAGACCAGCTGCACAGCCCAATTCTATGTAACTATTCTGGGCAAGAGCCTTGTGTACGGTCAGTCAGAAATAAGACTTCCATGGAACTTTCAAACCCCTGAAACGATCTGGGTGATATTTAGATATGTTGCTCACCCAGATCGGGGCTATCAGTGGATGTATCGGGGCTATTGTGGGGATACTATGTGTTTTGGGATACTTTTGGTTCTGTGAAAATATATGTTCTTTTTCGTCTGGAGATAATTGAGTTGATACAGTAATTGACTCCATTATCTCCCAGGCAGAGGGGAGGGATTGTATGCTATGTGTGGGAGTGTCATAAAGTATAAACCTGTTGTTATTGGCTTCTATTCTTGTATTGTAGTCCCCAACAAGGTCCATGTGTGAGTGCACCTTGCATGGGGACTGTCCTAAAAGGCCAATTGTGGCACCATTAAAATCAGTCCAGTTTTACCCTTAACATAGAGCCTCCCCTTATGTTTATAGGGACCTGCTATGCAATCTATAACCACTAGCTCTTATCAGAGCTTCACAGCCATACCTACTTCTTCACCACTTGGATTGATGCTTGGGTATACATCAGCGTTCTTCACTCTAGGGGGAAAGGACATCTCTGGTGGCGAAATCCCCTCCACTAGCAGGGCGGCCGTTACACCCTCTAGTATGTAGAATTCAGAATAAGTATAAGATTAAGTAATTAGGCAATGAAAAAATATGCATTATACATACTACAGGGCAACCCTTTACATGCGTTTCCATAAATATTACAAAATTATATGAATTCATGGTGGATCTAGTAACTATGTGTGTATATAAATATATATTCTTTACACAAGATATCAGTGCCTTGTCTGTCAGCACAGACCTAGAGCAGTTAGTGGTTCAAACAGTGTGGTATGATCTCATTGACTTCATGTAATAGGTTAAATGCAGTCCTTAAACGTGTTTTTTGGGGAATGAGGGTTTATGTGTCAACAAAAAAGAGGATTCACATCAGACAATTAATTAAAACTAAGTCAGTTTGAATGGAAATATGCATATTTCTCCAGTAAATGTTACATTTAAAAAAGCTGCTGTTGAGGGTGAGAATTTAAACATTTTGACTAATTTTTTTTAACCTTTTGAAGTGCGTTTTGGTCCAAAAAAAGCTGTTATCCCCATCCAATGGCCCTTTATACATCGCTTAGGACCTAGGTTTGCAGGTATGATGATTTCTGAGAAAGAGACACAGCTCTCTTGCTGTTTTTCTATCAACATTTAGTTTGTCTAACTAATCCCTGGGAATTAAAGGATTATAGAGTTAAAGAGGCTTAGTGATTTGAAGTGGTCATGGTTCCCAGAGTCAGTATGTGCAGAGTATTGCTGCACGTATAGAATTTAACCCCTGAGCTGCTAGAAGTATAACTCTGCCTCATCTTCATTAGGGTGTCAGTAGCTAGCCCAGAACAAGAGTTCCAGTGACTAAAATTGGCACCTGATGCCAGACAGTGAATGTCATCAAGGGCCTCTCCCTCCATGCCATTTCTGTCCTCCCCTGAATCAGAAGAAGAAGATCGACCACTACATCATTGGTACATAAATGCTATCCCTTTTTCTGGATAATGTTAAACTTTGCTGTTTCAACCAGACATTACGACTGCATCTTCCTTCACATTCTTTGATTTTCAAAGGTTTTCAAGATTGGCATTATTAAACCCAATCGTGTATTTAGGATATTGCAGACCTAGCGGGAATAGGAGTATGTTTAGTACATAATTATTACGGGCGCACATCCTAATGCAGTATGCTGTGCATGCCCATAGCTGTTTATATCATTAAACCACTTCTTCCTCATTTTCCTTATAAGAAAAATATACCACTGACTGACTGACCACTTGACTGATAGTCTCTATAGAGAGCAATAATTGGCTGAGAGTGATCAGTTGATGCTGTTAACTATTACACGACCAGCAAGAATGGCATCCGGCTATGCCCCATTACCAGGGAATATTGCTAGGATACTCCTGGCATCATAAATGCAGCAGGCTACAGTGGCTATAGTGCTTGGGATAACCCTTTAATGAGTTCAGACAGTGAAGTGGTTTTAGGTTTAATTGCAGTGTTGGCATTTTAAGATAAATAAGTTGGTTTCATGTACAAAAGGGCTCAAAAAGGTTTGCCATCACTGTTCTAGTGCATGTCCTTTAATGCTATCTACCTTTGACATTCTTCATGTTGGCTGTCACTGTGTTATTTGCTACGATTTATTTTCCGCAGCTCAAAATATATTTCTATAATTAACTAACCAGTGATCGTTTTATTACATTCCACCAAATACAGGATTCAAGGAATTGTATCTTAGCAACATGAAGAGGTTAAAGCGGCACTATCATGCTGAACTTACCTTTCCCTGATCGCTTCCTCTTTAAAACATAGGACAAAATAGGGACTACTTTGTTTTATGTATTTTTCCTATGCTTGGCCAGCTTTGATCCACTTCCTGTGGTCAAAGAAATTTTCCCACAATACTCACCTTTCCTTCATGATCTCGAATGCCTCCTGTCATTATTTCAAAACGTATCATCATCTAGACAGGACGCTGGCAAAACTACCGAATTGCGCCCTAACAGAATGAGTATAGTTTGTTCATTCATGTTAGCACGACATTTGGTACTATCTCTTTGGATCGGAATTTCATTCAAATTAATTAAATGCCAATCATGGGTGGGGTCCTGGAGGGAGACAATAGGTCCTCCCCCCTTCTGTTACATTTGGCCCCCACCCGACGCTCATGGGTGGGTTCCGTGGGGGTGGACACAATAGGTCCCCCCTTTTTGTTACTTTTGGCCCCCAAACGCTGCTTGGGGGTCTTTTTTTAGAACAGTGAGCAGCCAGTATCTGGACATCTGGAATATCTGGAAGTTCAATTTTCCCTGCTCCTGTTGTAGGTACTGGACAATAGCTATGTTAATGCCACTGACAGTTGTTCTAAATAGCTTATTTAATAAGTTTTTCTGAAAATTCTATTAACCTCTTAAAAATACAACTTCTGCAATAAAAGCGAATCATGATGGAATATTTCCGTCATGTGTCCTTAAGGGGTTAATCCATGGAAATGTCTATTGGTTAGACTTGAATGCTCTCCAGGTGACTTCACTAAATTGAAGATTTTTACAGCTCATTTAATTTGTCCTACATTTTGAAGTCTGATGTGAATTCACCATAACAACGTTTTTAATGACTACATTCTAATAGAATTTAGAGTGCCATCGTGTCAGGAATGATGATTTCCTACAGACATTTTAGACTTCTAAATAGTAATTAATTTACTTATTTCCAGTAAATGTGTAAAGTGTCAGTTCCCCTGTCATCTTATCAATGCTTGTACCTTTTAGTTAAGGATGTTTTGTTTCCATTTATTTATCATTTCTGTTTATAAAGGTTGTAGATGTGGCTCTCTCTTCTAGATCCCAAAATATACTGATAATATTAACCCTCTATTCATTGTTTTTCTTTGTGTGACTTTTCTTCCAGGTTCAGAAATGTCATAAAATGTGTTCTATATATACTTCTACTAAACTGTTATGAGTAAGTTGAATGGTCTATACTTTTGGTGTGAACATGTAAGTCATTGCCGTATCCCATTAACGGGATTATTGGAGATGATTGGTGTTCATGCATCTATGGAAGGTCACAACAGAGATGTAATAATGTGTTATCTACTGTTTATGCCAACAGTTTCAAATTAATTGTAATACTCCTGAATTGGACCTTTGTCCCGCTATCCCATATGTCTTCCCATATGGTGTTCCATAGAAGTAGAAAAGTGCAAAGTACAAATATGTTTAACCCCTTAAGGACCAAACTTCTGGTGTAAAAGGGAATCATGATATTTCACACATGTCATGTGCCCTTAAGGGGTTAAAGGATAACTGTCCTCAAATTTTCACTTTTCATTTTTTTTAAAGTTTATTACAATTAATGAAGCTTTGTAATAATTTTTTATTTGATATATTGATTTTTTTTTTTTTTTAAATTGTTCCTGGCTGAGCTACCATGTTGGGTCAGACTCGATTATTATCTAACTAGTCTGCTGCAATTTCATATAGAACAATCACAGCCACAGGCAAGTTGTGTTGAGCAGCAGTTGGTCAGATAACAGTAGTGTCTGACCCAACATGTCTGCAAAGCAAGATAAAAAGTGAAAGTTTATCAAAAGATTCAAGAGACCAATGGAGTCATTGGAGTGGACGACTATAGAAATATGTTAATTTTATAATCAATACAGGATTCTGGAAACATGCTGGAAGAATTGTCCAACTCCGCTCTAGTCACAGTTGGATGATTTCAGACGTAAATTTGAAATTTGGCTTTCACTTCACTTTGATTCTGTATTAATTGTATAAACCCTCAAGATATATTTGCCCACATATTGATTGTGATTTCTTGCCAAAACATTGACCTCGATGTTAAATTATTGGATGAGCTTTTCAAGTTACTTAATATTTTTGGACAAACGTTACATTAGATTTCAACTTTTTAAAAGTTTAAAAATATCTAAAAATATTAAAATCATTTGAAAAGCCTCTCATAAAATACAAATTCTAGGCCTTAGTTGGTTAATTGTGGCAGAGGTCAAGCATACTAACAAGTGATATAACTTTTCTTGTAGGGGCTGTGGTGGCTGCCTTCTTTCTCTGCAACTTCCCTGATACAGCGTCATCCCTCATGCAAATTTATATAGAAAATTGGAATGCGCATGTCTACACTGTATACACCTGGTTGAAGACCTACCTGTCTCTCCCACTTTGGTATCTCAACAGTGCACTCGACCCAATACTCTTCTGCATCTCCTCTACATCCTTTCGTAGAGCTTGTTGGAAGAGCCTCACTACATTGCTTCCGTGGCAAGGAAAAGCCACGGATCATGGACCGAGCCACAAATACCAAGCTTCCTGCATAAGATCTCGTGGGGGTTCGTCTCTTGTGTCAGCACCAAGTACACATTCAACATGCACCCTGAATTCAAATGAAGGGGAACAGAGGGAAAATTTGGCCATGTACCGAACCACCAAACCAAAACTTGTGTATTACCGGCACATTACAATGATGGAGAGAGGAGACTACTCAATTCCTTAGGAAAACTATGATTCCCATAATGCACTAGGCAGGTGCATTGAGGTTTGTTTTTCAGTGGTTTTACCATGGGTAAATGATAGAGGCTGAATGTTGGACTCTTTCAATGTATGTGATAAAGTTCTATTCTGAGTCTATTCCACCCATTGACACAACACTAGGGATTGTGGAGAGCAGCTGCAATTAAGCCCCTATGCCAAGAGGACCAGATGTCCTATGACTGTATCTATGGGAGTCTAACATGGCCAGGATTTCTGTTCATTGGGCAGCACCACCCTCACTACTCTGCTCTCTAACTAGTTAATCGCCTCTCTCCGATTATAGGTAAAAGGCTCGAACACATAAGGGTTGCTAGGAGTTGGTTTAAAGTCTCTCCATCAAGTTTTGTTTTTCCTTTTAGTTTTCTTTTCCATATGCCCCTTGTATCGTATTGATTATAATCCTTTCTTTGCCACTTGCCTTTATTTATATTTATTATGTTCTCTTTCTTGATCCAGATATTGGTATCTTGCCTTCTGCGGGATTCTTTTTGGTAAATTAGCTCACATTCTGAAATGGAACTTTGCTTAAGTTCCGTCCATTGCCAAAATTTGCCAAATATCACGATCCCCATGAGAAAAAGTTGTCACTGCTTGTTCTTATGTAGAACTACAAAACTAAGGTTAATTTAAAAATAAACAAATACAATTGAGAAATAGACAGACAAAAAAGGGATTAATTTAAAAGCAAAACCTGAAAAGTGGCATAGTTGCTTTGAAGGACACATGCCATTCCCCAAATTACTTATGCTCTATATATTGAGATGTATAGATTGGGAGAAAAGCCTACTTAAAAATATCGAAGAAAAAACAAAAAATTCACATATCTGAAGAAACACTCCAGATGTGTAAATAGTAACTGGAAATTAGGTTAAATTAATAATATCAATAAAAAATGTTTGTGAATTTACCAGAAAAAAGTCAAAAAACGATCAATACATAAATCTCTACAGCTTAGTAGCTGTACCTCCCTGATGTCTATGTTAATTAATGTCAGATTAGACTCCTGACTTTAATGTTATATTCAGTGTCAATGTCTGAAAAACATGAAAATACAAATATCATAGACAGCAATTCTAGTCTAACATAGCATTTACATCAAAGTACCAAATGTATGGCAAGCTAGCAACAAAATCTAATATGATGCTGCTGCCTAATTATTCAGATTGTGCTGTGTTACTCCTGTAACTAAGAGGGGTGAAAATAACCTGTTAAATACTATTCAACAGGCTTGCCACTTGTGTAACTGTATATGGGATTACGTTCATTTTCTGGATACCCAACAGATACATACTATCAAGTCCGCTAGAATAAACAGTGAAAATAGCAACATTGCTGTTAAAAAATAAAGAAATTGACGGACTGATCGTGGCTGCCTGTGATGCTAGATATAAAACCAGGTATACATAAATTCACTCCCCCGTTCGTACAAGGAAAGAATATGCAGGAGGAAAAGAATAGAAAAAGAACAAATTAATACGTGCTAATGTGCAGGACCATACTTAGAATGTTGGTCCCTGCACATGTGACAGTGTTCACTGTGAAGTGAGGAAAGGAAAAGAAAACCAGACGCACGTTTCGGTGCCACTAACGTGCACCTTCGTCAGGGGCTGAAAGTTTACTGACAGCTGGGTCACTGTTTTATACACATCTATTGCTACTGGTTTAGAACGTGGACCAATCAATGATCAAAAAATCGGTGCCAAAAGAGAGGAAACACACATATATTATGCTAATGAACCTTTTGAAGGGTCCAATCAGAAGCAGAGCTCCTGCTGCTGGCTTTATTGGTTGCCGCTAGATTCGGCAATTTAACCCTTTCAGTGCCGATAGAGCAGAATTATAAGGGTAAAAGTAGAATATATTTGTAGCTTGACGAATACCTTATATATTATTATTCCATATCCATAGTTCCAAGAATCGTCAGTTCTCATCCAAATTACTCTAATTTGTAACCCTTACACCATAAGCACTTGTGAATTTTAGACTTGGGCATAATACCGAATTAATTGAACCTCTAAACAGGAGAGGTTTCAAATGAAAAGTCCGTACATATATTGATCTCTAGCCCACAGATAGCTTAAGAAAAAGCTATAGTATAACACATTAAGCTGGATGGCATTACTAACAGCATCTCTATAGATGGATAATGGGATGTGTATGTAGAGATAAAAAGGTACCATTCAATAAGGTATTTCAAAAGGGCATAACATTAGGCTGCCAACTAGTATGATATGAAAATACCCAATGAATATCAAACAAACAAATAAATATCATCCAATTATGATCCTAAAGGGGTCTCCATTATGATGCTCTCATCTGTAAATATTCTTACTAGACCCTTATCGATATAACCCATATCGAAAGTTGACTCAAAAAGGGAGGAAAGGAATATATTGAACTTATTTACTTAGTTCCTTCAGGGGTAATTTCTCACTGTTGTGTGACAAGACATGTGTGTATATATATATATATACATATATGTATATACACATATATATACGGCTATTGCAAAATAGTGTTTAATACCATTCTAAAATACAAATATCACGGTAAATTCTGAAGGCTAGACCGATAAGGATAACTGTTTATTTGAATGTATCCCAGCAATAAACTACAGATACAGAACACATATACACATGTCCAGCAGGAATTAAAATTGTATTTAGGTGATATAAGACACCATCTTACTTGGTGTTCAAAATCATCATTACCTATACGGATTTTAGCCCTTTCAGGCACTCCCATGATATCAAAAAATAATAATGAGTTAGTCACATATAGTCTCAAACTGCCGAGAGCCATCACTAAGATTCATCAGATAGCGTTTAAAGATACAGTACCCATTATATACCGGATAGATAATGTTAGACAAACATTTATAGTATTAATATTTACAATATATACAATAGAAAAATTTAAAGCTAGCATGCTCATTAAATTTGAAGGTCAGGTTCTAGTCTGTAATGAAAGGAGTAAAAGAAAACCCCTCATTCAAGCCTAAGGGGGATAAAGTCTTAAGTTTAAAAATCCAATAGCTCTCTCGCTGTAAGAGTTTTTTATCAACGTCCCCCTTCCTTGGACCCATTGTCACTCTTTCTATACCATTAAAACGTAGACCCTGAGCAGATCCACCGTGTTTAATTTTGAGATGACGTGAAATCGGTGTATCAATTTGTCTAGATGGGTTGACAGAATTGATATGTTCCAAAATTCGGTTCTTGAAGGGTCTAATTGTCTTGCCTACATATTTCATATTGCAGCTGCATGTAATGAGGTATACCAGGCCGGACGTTTGACAATTAAAGAAGGTTTTGGTAGTGTGACTTTCCGTATTAGATGAATTAGAAAAGGTTTTTGATTGTTTTCTAATAAACTTACAGGCTTTACAACGGCCACATTTAAAAGTACCTATTGCAAGCAGGATTTCAACCAGGTCATCCTAGGAGAGGGTGAATGTAAATGGCTTGGTACCAGGATATCCTTCAAGTTTCGACCTCTTCTAGCTGTGATAGATACGAAGGGAGTGAGAACTTCTTTAAGATGTGGATCCTGGTATAAAAGAGGCCAAAATCTCTCCAATGTCTTTTTTGCCACATCCCATCCTGAGTCAAAAGTGCCAATGCACCTAATGGATTACTGATCAGTTCTCTGTATGGAGTTATCTGTCAGAAGATCCATTCTCTCTGTCAAGAGGGCCCTCTGATATGCCTTTTTCAGGCATTTGTTTGGGTAGCCTTTAGCCTTAAAATGAGACCTAAGAGTGTTGGCTTTTAATTTGAAATCCTCAAGAGAGGAACAATTCCTTCTTAATCTTAGATATTGGCCAGTCGGTATCCCTCTTTTTAGAGCGGGGGGATGATAGCTCCCCCAATTGTTTTAATACCTTTGTACACCTTTGTAAAGCATTGCTCAGAAATGGCCGGGTTCTTGTCAGATAAAACAATAAGAGATGCATGGTACTCTGATGTAGATGTAGTGTTCTCAGATGAGCATATGCAGGAGAACATCACCCATACCAATATAAATTCAGCCTTTAATCATCTGACATTTCTCTTCAAACAACAAATAAGAGCTGGATGGGAAATAGCTTCACTTGAGAAATACTTAAGTAAAGAACTTATCCCAAGGGGGCTAAGAGTTCAAAACATCCCTGCCCCTCATATAGAGGAATCTGAATTCATTAAAGAATGGGAAGAAGCAGCAGGAGTATGTTCTCGCAAGTTCATGGATATCTTATGTAGATACGAGAAAAAGAGGTTAGAAAAATTAACAAAGAGGTAGATGAGGAGATAGAAAAGATTCAAGTCTACAAAAAAGAAACAAATTTTGAACAACTTGAAGTAAAACTAAAGAATCAGATAGATAGATTTCAGACAACGATAAAAACAAGAAAACATTCTAAGTTTATGAGGGACTCCAAAGATTTCCAGACTGGTAACGTTTATCGTAAATTCAACAGAAGTAAAAGAGTGGATTTTGATAAGTATTCCACCTCTGAATACGAGACCAGTGGATCCGAATCAGAGTCCAAAAGTATTCTCAAAAAAGGGATTAATTTTTTAGCCAGAACCAACATAGAAGAAAGACCACAACGCAATACAAGAAACAGATCCAATATGCAGGGTCAAAAACGCAGGAAAGCTTATTAACCCAGGAAAGTCAGATCATAAACTTATCTACCCATCGGTTAACCACTTTGGAGACTCAAGTGCTCAGAAGAGGGATGTCTTTTGTCCCCACACCGAAATTTGATAAATTTGGCTGGACAAAGGACATCCATCTCTTTGCACGAAAACTAGCCCTCCATAAATTTCACTGCATACAAAAAACAAAACGAGCTGCCAGGTTGGGCCTAGAAACTCAAGACATGGACCTCCTGGATAATCTGGTTGACCTCCTGAACAGTAATGATCCTCCCACCAAACTAGGCGTACCATTCACGAATCTGAGATTAAAAAGTAA